TGCTTTGGCAAGAAAGACCCCCCCCCCCCCCAGGAGCCCCAAAACCCAGGGTTCTTTATTATACAAATAGATGTCCATGTGTTTGTTGGCCATCCCATTCCAAAATCATAGGCATTAATGTGGAGTCACCCTTTCCCCCCTTTGCATTTATAAAAGCCTTCACTCTTTTTGGAAGGCTTTTCACAAGATTTGTGAGTATGTCTGTGGGAATTGTGCCCCTTCTGCCAAAAGAGCATTTGTCAGGTGTGATATTGATGTTGAATGACCTGCAATTTGGGTTCCAATTCAACTTGAGCTAAAGTCCACTCCAAACTCATTAAACTATGTCTTAATGGGCCTGGCTTTGTGCACAGGGGCACAGTCATTCTGAAACAGAATGGGCTTTTCCAATTATTGTTGCCACAAGGGTGAAAATGAACTGTTGACTAAAATGTCTTTGTATGCTGTAGCATTAACCGTAGACTGGAAACACCTAAACTCATTAATTTGGGTTTAAATGGCATGTTTAACAAGATCATATAGGTATGATGGTCAGGTCTGGCGAATGTTTGGCCATATAGTGTAGCTCCTGAAATCACTTTTGGGTCCACCTTACGACCTTATTGTTGGTTAGTAGGGTCACGCAATAAAACTATAGACCAGTAGTGAGTTCTGGAAGGGGGCTATTTTAAGTGTCTCTTTAGGATCTGATGTTACAATGTACATAAGCAAGCACCCTGGATTTTAGAGCCCCTGGGGTGGCTTTGTAAGCTGGGTGCATGTGCAGACACCCTAGACACCTGTGCTCAGTCTTTCTGCTAGATTATTAGCTGTAAACTTGCATACAAGTTGACGTTAATCAGACAACGTGCAATGTGTGAAATGTAATAAGCCATTCCAATCTATCCTTAATCAAATGTCTGACTGCTTTGAATTTATGAAAATTGGAAACACAATCTAATTTGCACATCATCATTGTTCTTTGCACCCTTCCTACCCTATTATGTAAACTAAAATGTGGCTGATGTATGAATAATGGAGAAAATAGAACTATTGCAAAGTGTATTAGTTGAATATGGCAACCAGTTAGATTTCTTGGTTCATTTACCAGACAGAGAAAAAAAAGAAACCTAACTGCTTGATGTGTGCAACAGCCTAACATTTTCTCCAGTTGTCATAAATCAGCTGATTGTCTGATCAGATTGTCTGATGTCTAAGTATCTTATAGTAACTAGGAAGAGAGAGGGGCCCATAACTTGATTAATACAAGATTTAGGTAAAATAAATTACAATAGTTACACTTTACACATCTGTAATACAATCCAAGAAGGTCAATATACACCGATAAATGAGCCATAACATTATGACCACTGACAGGTGATAGATTATCTAATTTCCATGGCACCTGGAAGTGGGTGGAATATATTAGGCAAGGAAATATTTTGTCCCTGAAGTTGATGTGTTGGAAGCAGAAAATGGGCAATCTTGAGGACTTGAGCAACATGAACAAAGGCCTAATTGTGATGGCTAGATGACTCGGTCAGAGCAACTCCAAAACTGCAGATCTTATAGGATGTTCTCGGTCTGCAATGGTCAGGACCTACCAAAAGTGGTCCAAGAAAGGAAAACCGGTGAACTGGCGACAGGGTCATGGGCTTCCAAAGCCATGCATGCATGTAGGCAATGGCGACCGGCCCATGTAGTCCAATCAACAAGAAGAGCTACTGTAGCTCAAAAAGCTTGGTGCCAGATACTACAGCGTACCTTCAGAGGTCTAGAGGAGTCATGCCTCAATTGGTCAGGGCTGTTGTGGAGCTAAATGGGAGACCTACTCAACATTAGGCGGGTGGTCATAATGTTATGGCTGATCAGTATAAATTATATATGTTCTATTGTTAGCTGTGAACATACTAGGGAAGCAGAGATAAACTTGTATTACGCTATCGCTGATAGCGTTAGTGGGTGACACTCATCCTGCTATTATTGAACATGTAGCATCTCAAAGAAAGATTACTGGGTGTATTTGAACAGGACTAGTGGTTAGATATTCCTGATAAAAACTTTTGGTACTGATGCTTGTCTCTTTTGTCTTTCTCTCTGCACTAACAGCCATCTTTTTCCTCTGTGGAACCTGTGCCATTAAAGGGGATACCCTTTTTAAGGGAATATAAGTATGTTCAGCATTAAAAAAAACAAAAAACATTCCTTTTAATTGGACAAATATGAACTGTTAACATATGGATATTTATTTAAAATATGTATCTTTTACAGCCAACAGATGATGTGCTCCATGATAAAGCATTAATGCTCTCCACTCTTATCTTCAGTTATATTAAAAACATAGGGGTCTATTCACTAAGCTGCCGTAGGCAGGCGAGTGACTAACCGACCCGA